TACGTTTCCCGACTCGCACAGTGCCGCCCACGTGCTCGTATAAACACTGAAGCCCGACAGCAAGACAGAAAGCTAGTTTATGATGAATCGCATCGTGCTGTATCCTTCCATGACTTCTTTGCGCAAACACGTACACGGACACAAGAAAAAGAGGCAAACAACACGGGCGCAAACTCACAACTGGTTTATTTTGAACAACGAACTGTACTTATATCTTCACGTAGCCCACACGCCCCCCATCGGTGGATCCAGGAACAAACGAGATAACCCAAAGCAAGCTTATTCAGCGCTACGTCATGATAAGAACCACGAAAAACACCAAAAAATTGAAGAGTTCACGCATCTGCAGACGGATTGTAGCACGTGCCTTTCAAAAAGTGAAATTCTTTATCGGACAAGGTGACGGAAGCTTGGCTAACACATTTTTCTCCCAAGTTTCTAATATGGAAAGCTTCAATCAACTCCCTGTTAATTTTTCTCTTGTGAGTTGACAAAATCTTTGTGTCTGTAAAAATTGGTACGCACCCACAAGACTTGCAGTGATCCACCAGATGTGTTCTTCCTGAACTACGTAATGCCGAGTCATGCTCCCTCAACCGTGTGTTTATACACCTTCCAGATTGCCCGACATAACATCTGCCACAGCTGAACGGAACCTGGTATACCACTGCTGTTCTGCAAGACCGGTAATGTTGGCTGTGTTTCATCTGGCACTTGTTCTTACTCTGCGTAGTGCCGGACTCCACCATGTTCCGAAGTCGCGGGCACAACTTAGACAGCTTGTTGGGTGCTGAAAAAACTGTTGGGTGCTGAAATGTATCCTTCCAACCTGGAGACGAAGTGCTCCTTTTGACGCCTGTTTGCACACCTGGTTTGTGTGACAAATTTCAGCCTCGGTTTATCGGGCCGTACACAGTTCTTGAAGAGACTTCACCAGTGAATTATCGCGTGACGCCACTTGTAGCCCCAGCAGATCGCCGTTATTGAACTACAGAGGTCGTCCACGTCTCCCGTATGAAGCCCTTCATGCGACGTTCTTTGTCCCCTTGACTTGTCGCGGCCAGGCGGGCCGCTTTAACGTGGGGGGAATTGGTGAGGGCATTTAGTATACGCATCCTCTTCACCGGTACATTATCATCATTATCATGTGTGGCTCATGCATCCTCATCGTTGTCGCGTAGCATCATCATCTTGGCTCATTCATCGTAGCTGTCAGCTGCCGGTTCCTCGGGCCTAATAAAGGTAATCCAAACCAAGACTTCATAATATATTGTTTTCAATAAATTTGTCCAATATTCTTTAAAAATTACAGAAAGGAGGTATCTGCTTATTGTATTTTCTGTGACAGAAGGCATCTTCGGATGCGTACACACATTACTTATGACAATATTTATAGAAATTCAGATCGCGGGTTTGAATTACGGATACGGCGGCAGCATTTTCGATGGAGGCGGAAGTGTTGTAGGCCCGTGTGCTCAGATTTGGGTGCACGTGAAAGAACCGCAGGTGGTCAAAATAACCGGGGCCCTCCACTACGGCATCTGTGATAATCATATGGTGGTTTTGGGACGTTAAAGCCCACATATCAATCAATTATTAATTATAAAAACTAGCACAATTAACTTTTTAATCAGTAGTTATAGCGAGTCGAGTCAAATGAGCGAATTCAAGCTGTTCTTATAGTCCATGGCCATTTTGAAATTTTGGGAAAGTGGCCACTGGTAATCAGCGCGGAGTGATGCAATCTGGCCAATTTATCTGGTGAAACCGAAACCAACTCGCCAAACAGCGCATCTACCATTCACTTCGACAACACACATTTAGGCACATTTGCAATGTCGATTTATGCATTTCAGTCTGATTCGTTTATCAGCTAGTTTTCATACTTTAAGGAAAGTGGCACTGTAATAGGAGAGCGGAGAACTGGACTTGCAGTAGCTAAATTCTAGAATAGCCCCCAAAGGAATGACACTCTCCCTCGCCCCAACCGCCACAAATATCGACTAAAACAATCACGTAGCATGGAAAAACGTCCTCCTAGAGGCATCACTCAATGTAACAGAAATTGCAATCAACCACAGTGGAAAACAAGAAAAGAAACTCACCACCATTACCAACAGCACGACAACCACCACTTATCAAACGAGAAAATCACCCTACCAACAAAGTTTGAACAGAATAAATACCAAGAGATCATGAAAGCGAATGCACGAACTTAAGAGAGACAATGTTTCGAACTCCTCCCTACCAGACGTTATACCATATTACTACAACACATCCACCCACGACACCACTGATGGTACGAACAAGAACACTGCGACACTGCGATTGTAAACCTATCGGACATGAGTTTCTCAACAAACGAAGTAAAACTATTATCTAAAGGTCTAAACTTTTGCCCAACGAGAAAATATTTTCATGAGTTTCACTTACTACGAGACCTCGGCAACTTCGCTAGAAACTTGACGCTGTACGAATGTTTCTTCGACAAACTTTCTAACATTCCAAAACAACCCCGCCACCAAACAAATAATTGGACACCAAAAAGTCATATAGGCAAGTGTCTGGGCTTATATCTTGACGTGATCCAGAAAGATATATTACAAGAGTACCACATAAGCACACACAAAAACAAGTGGTAAAACCAAATATCAGGCGTTTCAATCTCTCTGTCTAGCCACTGATACAGCACCAATGGTGAGATGTAATGGTATAAGCCGATGATATGAAGATTGATTGATGATTGATATGGGGGGTTTAACGTCCCAAACCCACCATATGATTATGAGAGACGCCATAGCAGAGGGCTCCGGAAATTTTGACCACCTGGGGTTTTTTTAACATGCACCCAAATCTGAGCACACGGGCCTACAACATTTCTGCCTCCATCGGAAATGCAGCCACCGCAGCCGGGATTTTATCCCGCGACCTGCGGGTCAGCAGCCGAGTACTTTGGCCACTATAGGCGGGGATATGAAGAGAACTGCTCCTTTTGAACGAACGCGTCGATCCACTTCTTAGCGCAAGATAAAAACAAGGCCAGCGCGGTAGGCGCATGCAGCACATTCACAGAGAAAGCTATAAGAGCCGATTTTCAGAGCCTTTTCTAAACACTCATTGGGTAACTGCTGCAAGCACACTTACAGGGTACCCACTACGCCATAAATAATCATAATGTTTGTGTAGTAGGCCAGCATTCACTATGCTATCCGTTGTCATTCTTCGGAGAAGCGTGGTATACCCGCTACCCACTTGCTAGGAATTTCATGCAATTTTTTATGCAGTGGCTAACGACGATGAAAAATTATGCCTGAAGTGGGTATGCGCCACAGTTAATAGGTGGAAAAAAACAAGTTTTCTCGTGGGTTGTATTCATTGAACGACCTACTCGTTACTCCCACTGTGTGACGCCTGGTTGTTCCTTTGATGTTCTAAAACGCTTTATTACCCATATTAACGCGATCACTTTCCCGACATCAAGCCTGCCTAAGGCCACTGTAAAAAGAAGTTCCAAGCATCGGCGTGGCTCAGTGGTAATACAGGGCTGGCATACAGTAATAAATTGAAGAAAGCGATCGTAGAATCAAGACATTATAGGCATATACAAAATTCATTACTGCGTGATTTCTCTCTTTTTCAACATTCAGCGATCATTGAAAGCTGTACGCTCGGCAGATACGGTGCGAAGTCGGTGCTGTATAAATGCGGGACTTTCATGCACGGCTTGTCGGGGCGGCTTTTTATTTTTTGCCCATTATCCTTTCACCTGTTTCCATTTCTCACACTCCCAAGCGGTCGTTCCGAACTGCTGCAGCTCATGCGGCCAGCGCTCGCATTTTTCTGCCTGTCACCAGCAATCAACTTTTATTCTCGTTTTCATCGAACAGTGCCTATTTTTATTCAGTAACGCAATCATTGGCCTTAATACTTATTGACGTTATGACGCGCATTGGGATGCCGAAAGGCTGAGAAAATATCAAAAAGAACTGATGTGCAGAAAAATGAAAATAGTATCTATAGAGTAAGTCTGCCGGAAGAGCTGCACAACTGCACTGAGGCATATACGATGACGCCGTGGTGTGGATTGTGGGACCAGAATAGTAAACAGTTGCGCTACTTGCTTAGACGCAGGTCTTTTGAAATAAAAGAACCAAATGGCGCGCAAAAAACAACAAATCAGGCACTAAAGACTTTCAAATATAACGGTGTTTTTACAGGGCTGTTTACATATTTCCGCACAGAATCTGAGTTTCCCATTGAAAAAGATCCGACTAGTTTGATGACATAAGAGAGCTGACACAGACAGACAGACACAGGAAATTACTAAGGCCCCGAGGAGCCAGCCAATGACATGACATTACAAGAAATTTACTGGAGTCCTGAGTGACTGATATTTAGGGGAGCCAGAGGCCACCCAGATCAAGGCGGTGGCTCCACTCACGGTGGGACCAGAAACTTATGTATTTTTTTATCGAGTTATGCTGTCAGAAACGAAGCATTTGTTTTATCATGACAATAATTTCTGCATGTGAACGCGTTGAAGCCATGATATGACTGTGAGGAACGCTTAGGGGGGACTCTTAGGTAATTTCCACCGCTTGGAGTTCTTCAACATGCACCAGCATCAAAGTACACGGGTGTTCTTGCGAGTCGCCTCCACCGAAACGTGGTCGCCTCGGCCACGGGATTGTTGATTGATGATTGATATGTGGGGTTTAATGTCCCAAAACCACCATATTATTATGAGAGACGTCGTAGTGGAGGGCTCCGGAAATTTTGAAGGCCGCGGGATTGTGTCGTGAGCATACCACCTTTGCAGGGCGCGATGTCTGTCCGCTGTGGTACCCGCTGTGGTACCCGCTGTGGTAGCTTACCTATAGTAAGCTACCACAGCGGGTACTTGTTTTATCCTCAGTATGGAGCCTGAATTCGAGGTATACGACTGGTATGAGTGCCGTTCCCTTCTAACTTTTCCTATATTCCTGTGTGCACTGACGCAGAGAGAGCAGTCGCTACACTGCAGCACCACGACGCAATCACGTGAGTTGGGGCAGCGTATAAGCGTACCACGGGTGTTAAGAAACAGCTAGCATTCAACAAAATGTGTTTTTGCTTGCAGTGGAACGTGCTCGAAAAAGGTGGCCCAGGGTTATACCAAACTCATTGGAGACAGCATCTCCCAGTGCGAGGTAACTTCTCTCACTGCACAACACTGTTCCTTAGTGTGTGATTAATCACTGGTGGTGAAAAAGTCGTTCAGTCAACGTGGAAATGGCGGATATTGCGTTGCTATTTCTACGCTTCGGTGTGGCTTCATTTCGAAAGCAAGTTCCAGATGCTAACAAATTTTAGTAGGGCTCTGAAACACTTTAAGGGAACAAGGTGGCGAGGTTTGGGCAATTTCATGTTCTAACCATTACTGCCACGCCTAATGAAGTGCTGCACCGGTGGCGAAAAGAGACACTAACGTCAGTTTTATTTGTAGCAACCTTGGTATGAATCTCTGTTATATATTACTAAGATGCGTAAATGTTGGCATCGCAAGGAAGGATTCAGAGCCAGCAGTGTAGTATAGCGGATTTTATTAAACTTCTGCAAGGCCTCGGCCTTCGAAATTGCGCGAATGGTGCTGGTCACTTCCAACTTGAAATCTCATTGTTTTCTACAGATACGTAGTGCTGCTGTGCGCCATGTGCCTCTCTGAAGGAAACACACAAGTCACTCTAAACTTGTTCGTAACACCACTGACTGCAAAGAGAAATTATGCTCCTGCATTAAATGAAGGTACCTAATACATGTTTCACAGGCTACAGCGGACAGCGAAGAAAGTTTTCATTATTCTTACGTACGGAATCTAGTTGTCTAGAACAGTCATGAAGTTTACGTGTAGTTTTGCCGTGGGTTGAACGCTGACAACCTGAAATCGCACTGGGACGTACGCAAGCTTTTGTAGCTCTTCTGTAGCTTTGGTCGCAATCCTATGGATATAAAATTGGCAGCAGAATTTATTTTTGTGGGGTTATAGTGCGTCCTGCGCCCTATCGACACATGAATAATATCTCAGGGTCAGTTAGATTTGGCTGAAAAGATCGGATTGAAATGGTTGCCGCAGAAGCTGATTAGCGACGGAATCGTGAGCCTCATGTGGCGCAACCCGGACAGCAACGACGAGTTGCTACAGTTCTGCCACAAGCTGAACGAGACCATCTGCTTGATCCCCGAAAACGAGAACAAGGTACGTGATTGACAAGTGGGCCAACCACTCATACGACCCGAATTTCACAAACCCAAAGAGACCATACAAGTCCTTCAACAGATTGTTCAGGGGACAAAGCGACAAACAACAGCGGAAGCAGAATGACAGCGATAAGCTACATAAAAAAAAGAAAACTGCGGCTGTGTTTCAAAATAAACGTTTACTTCTCTCTCACGCAGGGCTCATGATTAGTTGAAGGTAACACATACGCATAAACACAGATACAGAGGTGCAATCACACAGAAAAAAAACATACGCACGTGCACAGTCTAAAAAGGCTGTCAAAGGTCCATCACTCATGCTTTTATGTATCCTGTTTGTTCTTTCAGTTCCTCATCATCGTTTACAACCCTATGGGACAGAGAATAAAGTACTACGTTCGACTCCCGGTTCCCTCCAAGAATGAATACGTGGTTGAGACACGCGACAAAGAGGTCTTGGCGTCCCAGGTATGGAAGCGCTAGTATGTTTTAAAGATATCGAATCGAAGTAGTCAGGTTTATAATGGAGAGGGAATTCAATGGCTGTGCGTGCTTTTTCAGCTAAGCAGAAAGAAAAAAAAATTAACTGACTGCGACTGAAACACTACCGCAGCAATCTATGATAGAATGCACCGCATGGTACGATGTTAACCCGCCCATCTGTGCGATGGTGCAAATGGTCTTTTATTTCCAGGTCACTGTGAGAAGATACAATATTGTCACGTGGTCGTGACGTCGACGTACAACAGATGGCAAGTCAAAGCGGGAAATCTTTATTTGGTTGAGCTTGTGGCCAGGAAACTCAAGGTCACACTGATCGATATGGGGTGTTTAACTTCTCAAAATTACCATATGATTATGAGAGACGCCATAGTGGAGGGCTCCAGAAATTTCGACCACCTGGGGTTCTTTAACGTGCACCCAAATCTGAGCACGCGGGCCTACAACATTTCCGCCTCCATCAAAAATGCAGCCGCCGCAGCCGGGATTCGATCCCGCGGCCTGCGAGTCAGCAGCCGAGTACCTTCGCCACTAGACCACCGCGGCGGGGCCTGAAGGTCTCGCTACAGCAATACTGATAGCGGCGAACACAGCGTTGGCTGCCGATCAACCGACAAGCGGCGAAGCGCGTCGGTATTTATACATGTGCCATCAAGCATTCCCGGCTTATCCCTTGTCGTCACGCAAGCTCTGGAATAATCTGCAGGGTTCGCGCCTTGCGCGAAATCTTAACAAAACGATCTACAATAATCCTGAACCTGAACCAATAATCCTGAACAATGAGGCGCAGCACGCTCTGATCATTCCTGACAAACTTGATTGATAGATATGTGGGGTTGAACGTCCCAAAACCACCATATGATTATGAGAGACGCCGTAGTGGAGGGCTCCGGAATTTTCGACCACCTGGGGTTCTTTACGTGCACCCAAATCTGAGCACACGGGCCCACAACATTTCCGCCTCCATCGGAAATGCAGCCGCCGCTGCCGCGATTCGATCCCGTGACCTGCGGGTCAGCAGCCGAGTACCTTAGCCACTAGACCACCACGGCGTGGCGTTCCTGATAAATTTTGGGAGCGAGAAATGAATGAAACAAGAGCGAAAATAAGGAACGTGCAGGGCAATATGCGGAGGCCCAACCACAAAAAAGTGTGGTGCCCTTGGGTCTTCACAAATGTGGGAGCTAGTACAAAATTGTAATACTTTAGTTGACAGTTGTATAGTCTGAAATTTCTGCATATTCATAACATAGGTCGGAAAAAGCGGAGCTCACACTGGCTCACCTAAGAATTATATATATCCACTTAGGGGGCGATCACTATATAAGTTATCCCATGACATATTATTTTACATAGATACGCGAACATAATTAAAAAACAAGTTTATTATTAAGATCGACGAATGACTATAGATATATCTGGATATTATAACTGCTGGTTCATTGCGCCAAACACTTTAAGAAGGGCAGGAATGTACAGAAGGTGTTGTATAGAAGCGGTATAAATAAGTACGTGAATAGGTGTGTATGCTGTAATAAGCTTTATTGGACAATTTAAAAAGTCCATCGTAAAAAAAAAGTCAATTTTCTGACCTAGGTTTTCTAGCAGACACAAAACTGGATGGGGCGTCTACTGGAGGCGCAGGATGGGGGGGGGGGGGGGGGGTTGAGTCAAGCAGGACACACTGTGCATACATTTAGATGGATGCACACAAACTAAATATATCATTGTTGTGATCAAAATTCCATAGTTTGTTCGTGAAGAGTTTATCGCAGTACGCAGTATTATACCACACGTTCAGAGCGAAAATGTAGCCCTCAGCGGGGTGGCATGCGGCCCATAAAGGTAAATGAGAGGCGTTCCCCCCCCCCTACTCGTGATTGACATCTTTTCTCGCTCCTTCTTGTTCCTCGATTGACAGTATCAACAAATAAGGTTAACCTCTCTGGGGTTTCCGCAGGCTGTTCCCATGACAAATACAGTTATGGATCTTCCACTCAAGAAACACATCGCCATGAACGAGCTCGTGTTCCAAGTGGAGTTGCCACCAGTGGGAGCGGCCGCTTACCAGGTGTCAAAATTACCGGGTACATCAGCTTTCCCATACAAATATACGAAGCAGATGTACGAGCAACGTTTTGGATTAAGGAAATGCCGATGTCTAGTATCGAAAGAATGCACAATGTGTGCGGTGCACTTACAGGAGGAAAATGAAGGCCTTTAGGTAATTTTGGCACATTTAGACGCACCTGTGGAAGTACTTTCGCGCTTAGGCCTTGCGTGCCCGAACACGTATGCAGTGTTATAGTTAACGCGGGGGACACGGTTGCAGTGTTCACCACAGGTGTAGCATTCTGTAACTAATCTTTTTTGACCATCGAACACTCAAGAGAGTATGTTGTACACGGCCGACACAAAGTTGCTTAAGGATGGGCTTGAATACATGAGTATACTACAGCACGTGGACAAAAACGCTCCTGGGCTTTCTATTCTCCGCCTGCATTGTTCTAGTGTTCTTCTAAATTTTATATGCTTGTTGCCCATTGTAGATGATGAGGTTATGTGCGTGCAATCATGGTTGAAGTGGGTTCTCGTCATCTGGTAGGAAACAAGTGATGGTAATGCTTCGGACATTTAATGGGGCAAAATGAAGGCAAAAGTAAAATAAACGAACTTGTTCCGAAGAGCGCAAGAGAAAACCCAGGCTTTGCACCTCAGGTACTCAGAAAGTTCAGCGTTGCTGAACCGAAAGCAAGGACGCAAGATTAACTATAGCCACTCACAACCCACAGCCGCACTCCGAGAGAATTTGCACAAACAGTCCCCGTCCAATGGGAATTGACTTTTTATACGACGTCAAACACTTCTCGTGTAATTGTTAACGGTGAATTTTCCATACAGGTAAGTCTTCGTGTCTGTTTTTCGTGCAAAACTTGAACTTTCTGTCACGTTTCAGTACAAAGACTCAGAATTCACTGCTAAGCCAAACAAAACACTTTAACAAGGGACGACGAAGGGAGTTCACATTATGCGTAATACTTACACAAGAAGTAAAAAAAAGTGTTTAAGGTTAGAACGGAAACCACTTTGCACCACTCTCTTGCTTAGATAAATGACAGGCAGGTCGCACATCTGGGGTGGAGCTTGTATTTATTTTGGGGTGCGCAGAACGAAGGCGCACCACGAGATTCAAGCAGATGGCCTCTTTTTCTGGCAAGTAGAACAAAGCATTTCTATGTTTTCTCCTGATTTTTTTTCCAGCCATACAGCCACCAAAGGAAAACTACGACGTGTTCAGGATTGACCTGGAAGAATCGTCGATTGAAAACGAGGTATTGCGTTAGTGTTACTTTAGAACATTTAAGGTTTAAATACCTTGATACGAATTGAAGCTGCGTGGCATTAGTCCTGACAATTAGTCATGTTGCAAAAGAAAGCAGAGAGCGTGAGCGAGCGGGTTAGATGCATGAACAGCACACTACGGGTTTAAACGACATAACTGTACCATAAGGATAAAAGTTGCTAACTTGGCTTGTGTCAAATCCTTGAGACAAAAAATTTATTCATAAAACCAAAGGGATTCTTGAAAAATGTTCTTGCAGAGCTTAAACTGAGCACACTCTCAGGACCGTGGTTGAAAAGCAGTGATTTCAGCAACTGATAGGTGACTCTACCCTTTATTTTCTATAAGATGGACGCGAAAGAGGGAGACAAAACCTCCATCAAGACCTATTTAGTTGAGAAGAACAGAATCATAAGGGGAAGCCTGTATGTACACGCAAGGGCCAGTGATTCGCTTTTTTTTTTTTAAGTCTGAGCTGGCTGTCTGAGGAAAAAACAACAACAACATACCACAATCGAAACAGACGTGTAGTGCCTGAAGCAGTGAAAGTGATAAGTAATAACTGCTCGATGCATTACGACAAACTGTCAGGATATTCACTCTGACCATGCAGTAGAGTGCTTCCACCTCTCAGAGGCTCTGGCATTCGAAACGGAAGGAAGTATTAACAGCGGTTGAGACGCACACAAGACGGTTAAAAGAGCGTAGAAACGAATATCTTTCATGCTAATCTTGTATTTTTCTAAAAAAAAAAAGAGTTTATAGTGGACCATAAAAGCGCCTGACAAGGGCACAATCGTAACCACAGTGGTAAAATATTGTGCATTTACAAAGTTGGCCTCATGATATTCAGTGCTCATTTTTACGTCACACTCCTTTTGCCAATGGATATCGCGGCAAGCCCGGAGAAAGGAGCCACACTTCATTTTTAAAGTCCGAAGTTTCAATAAATTACCTTTAAGCCATTTGTTCTATGTCGTAATTCACTACAGCACTTCGTGTAAGCAAACAACGATCATGCTCCGGTCTATTTACCGTATAATTTTCGTGTCCACACTTCTTTATAAAAGCAAAGAATAACAATAAAGCTGGAGTGTCGCACTCCAGCTCTATGGTTATTTTCTTCAAGTTCATTGATCAATTTTTCACATTTAAGGTACTCTTGCACAATATGGTTCTTACGATTGATATTACTCACGACACATTCTATTTTTGCTGCAGCAATCCTTAGTCCTCTACCTGGTGCATGAACTCCAGTTCAAACCTCACGTTTTTTTATACGAGTGATACGTAAGAAAGTAAACGCAAGACAAAGTACATGCATTGAAAAACATTGTTAGCTCCACGAGCAGTTCTGACACACCCCATTGTAAATGCGGGCCTTGGAAACAACAAATAGGCACGTTTTGTATTCACCAAGTTCGCTTCCCTGCACTGCATGTTCGCCCAACTAACGGCGGTACCTGCCGTCCATCAAGTGGAAATGAGGCCCTGGTTGCATTTGTACGCGTTTTCCTCGTCAGAGCGTAAGAAAACAACGCAACACGCTATTTACTAATTATTAGCTGGCTTTTTCGTTATGCAAAACGCATTGCAGAAAAGTCAGCTTTATATTTATGAAAAGGGTTTATAAGGTTGACAAAAACGACTCGGAAAGCGTCATGGCTTTATCTGCACAATAAAGCCCTATATAAATAAAAATATTGTTTATCGTCCAATCTAAAACCTGGAGCAGTTTTTGAAATCTCTTCTCTAAGCTTTGCAATCGATGTTCAAAAAGGCCAAAGTGCGTCAAAATTGTGGCCATTCCCATAGGCTGTTTGGAAAAACATTCAGATTGTCTGAAAAGGAAGGCACTTAGTAGCACGTTATTAAAACTAGGCCTCAAATGTTGTGGTGGTTGTCTAATATGATGAACCAGGAGTCATTTTTATATCGTGCCTGGCTCGTGAGATATGATTTTTTTTTTCGTGCGCTTCCTCTTTAGTTACGGTGGGGTGACCGGCCACCGCCGAGAGATGGCGCTACATGTTATGTCTAAAATTACTGGGGAAGTTATCGGCGTAGCTAGTATATAGTACCTTGGAGAAAGAGAGACATGTATAAAGGAGGAAAAAAGAGCAAGAGATAGCCAGACTGTTAGACGACAGATGAAATAACAGTGGATGATGATGAATAGGCCTGGTGGCAACTTGTACACGCTGCATTTCGAAAGGGGTGCAATCATATACATTCCCCACTATTCCTATTATAATTACCATCACGACGTACATACTTGAGGAACATTGTTTTGTGGAAGATTTTTTTGAATACGTGGATTATTCTTTCATTTACACTTACACACATAAGTGTCCTACGGGACTTGAATGGCTAAAGGTGCATCCAGCTTGTCGCTAAGAGCTTAAATTCCAGGTGGAGCCTTGCGAATATTTATATGCCACGCGCTATGAAAATATGTGTGGACGAAGCCTTCACTAGTCAGCAAGGCAAAAATGCGCATAAGGCAGTAGACGTGCCACAGTTTTCAATGAAGACGCGTCTTGGGGGGGGGGGGGGAATTATTTGGTATTCTGTATCTATCACACTTTGTGGCTTTCTCAAATAGCGAGATACTGGCCCGCAAATATATTGACAGGAGATATAGAATCCACGGTCACTTAAATCATGTACTTGGGCGGCAGATAATGAGCATGACTGCTGTGTGATACATAATTCTTTCCGCAACACAGAAGTACCGCCTGATCGTTGACGTGGCCACCGGCCTGCTCAAGGAGGTCATCGTTCTGGAGAGGGACGAGACGCTGATGCTTCGCCAGTCGTTCTTCTGTTACGAGGGACAGTATTCTGGTGACGAAGGGAGTGACTCCTCGCCCGCATCGGGGGCCTATATCTTCAACCCACCTTTGGACGAACCATACGACCTGGGCATGCACGTGACGTACCGAATAATCAAGGTATTTTACATTGCTGCCATTTCACTTGGCCGTATCGCAAGGCTTTCCTTTACATGTAACAAGCGTACATGGCATGCTATGCTATATAACTAGTCAGCCAGATGCCGATTGGACAACGTTCATGTTCGTGGAATCACGAAAAGCTGGAAGACATTTCCTTTACACACGTTCTCGCTTTCCGCTTGAGCACTTCGTGTCAGAGGCCACGTGTTCCTTCGCTCGGCTCCAACGCCTCAGCGCATGACCGCATATCTCATACGTTGATTGATTCCAAGTGATTAGCTTTGTACGGATACGCCAGGTATCTCGTAATAACACTATGGTTGGGAAGCTTAACGATTGTCTGAGATCGTTCCGTTGAGATTGCGCACAAGACGGGAATAGTCAAGTTTATTCGGGAGCTTTTGCAAGCACCAGCGATTGGGCTCGAAGATTCACTCACTGATGCATAAAAGACGAGGCGCTCCATCGATGATACGATTATTGACGGCCAACGACCGCGAACAGCCGCTATCAGTGCAATGCACCTATTGCTTGTAATTTTTATTTCCTAGGCACAAGTTTGTCCAATAAAGACTTGCGTATTAAGAAGCCCAACTACCGCCTTCTTCACCGTCACGAACTCTATTCACATATCCCATCTAAAAGTGAAGGTAAAACAGTACTGCATAAGGGTAGTCTGATACCACGAAGCGGAAACTCTAAAAGCCGTCTTTCTACCTAAAATAATTAAGACGACCAAAAGATATCGATTACATCCACCTCACATGTAGCGTAAAGGAAACATTGCGAGCCCACATCTGTGCACGTGAAATTCAGCAGTGAAATGCGGCATAGCACAGAAGCTTCATAACCGCGGGCGGGACATGACTGGAGGTTCTACGATTGCAGCGTATGCATACATCTTTTTAAAATTTCGCTAACGAGGGTTTCTTCGGTCTCTAGTGGATGAAAGATGTCTACGTCAATCCATAGTAATAATATGAGCAGTAGTACGCGGCATATAGACCACCGAACGCGAGCAAGTGAATCCGCGATGTCAATAAGATTCCTGACCTTGTGCCCTCACTAAAAGAGTTAAGCGTAATTTAGGTTGACCTGATGAATAAAATATGCTCGAAGAAACCGAAGTGGGTACCTTTCGTTAGTCTGATACCGTTCTCCGCTTTCACGATTGGTTACGAGAACGTTCTTGTGGCCCTGCATGCAGCAGTCGGTATTGTCGCCTATTTCAACATAAGGTTCTCCATCATCCAGGCATGCCGTACGAATGATGTATATAACGTTAGCCCGGTTAGTGAATGTAGCTTACACCGCTGCACGGCGCACATATAGCGCAAGACACCATACTCCCCACTTTGAAGAAACATGCCACAGACCCCAAAGTAATAATAATAATAATAATAATAATAATAATAATAATATGGTCATTCATCATGCGCTTCTTTTCATATATGCATTATGATAATCATCATCATCCGCCTGGGTCTCTGTCCTCATCTTCACTGAGCGCACCACAATCATCATCGTGTGTGTGCACGCTTGGTCTCAGACTGCCCGTTCGCTGCTGAGCCCTTGTGCTGAATAAACGTTGTCTCAACCCAGACGTCATACGTGGTGGAGGTGGATTTTCGGTCCTCGGTCCTCTCCCACTTCGGTCGACTCCCTGGAGCTGCGTTCAGGCCGCCGATTGCCCCCACTGTCTGGCAGCATGTAACAGAGCGAGCCTGCCGGCGCTGCTGCCATCGCTGCTGCCATCTCTCCCCCACCGTCTTCAGCCACGCCTCCTGTTTACCTACACAGTCACCAGCGTGATCCCCATCTCTTCACCGGTCTTCGCGGGGAAGACGTGGAGGACTGGCTCGATACAGTCGCGTGAGTGTTGCTAATTACTGGGACGATAGCACCAAGCTCCGTTACGTCTCTTTCTACTTGATGGATGTAGCGAAGACATGGTATTTCAACCATGTCGCTGACTTACCCGACTGGGCGACCTTCCTGCACCAGCTGCGACATGTTTTTTGGGACACCGGCCAGTCGTTCCGCCGTCACGAAGAGGACCCTTGATGCTCGCCGACAACATCCCGGCGAATCTTACACTTCCTACATTGAGGATGTCCTTTCACTGTGCCGGCGTGTCAATTCATCTATGCCAGAATCGGACAAAGTACGCCACATATTGAAAGGCATTGGACCTGCTGCTTTTAATGCCCTCGCTGTGCAAAATCCAGCTACCATTGCTGACGTCGTCGCGACATGCCAGCGCCTTGATTCTCTGGACTCCGTTCGTCTCCAAACGGGCATTGGCGACCACCACTCCACGTCCCATGGTCATCTGCATGACCTCATCCAGAAAATTATACGAGAAGAATTGCGGTCTATGGGCTTCACACCTCCTTCACCGCGTTCAACACAGTCTTCGGTAGTTCCTTTGCGTGACCTTATTAGGGATGAAATTACATCCCTGACCGGCCCTGATCTCGTGCAACCACCTGTTTCTCGCACCATATCAACCTACGCTGAAGTCGCTGCCGCGACTCCGAGCAACGTACACGTGGCATTGCCCCAACCACCCTACGCGTCGGTTGCTGCCGCTCCCCCGGTCAACAACTGTTCGATGCCACCTGACCCTTCTTCGGCCCACCTGAGCGCGCTCTCTCCAGGTGCCCCTAACGCCTTTTACTCCCCACCCTGGCGCATCGTCCCGCCCTGTCTGCTATTACTGTGGGTATCGCGGCCACATTTCTCGTTTCTGCCGCAAGCGCCAGCAAGACGAGCATCGCGGTTACGACATGCGTGAACAAAATTTGTACTATCAAGGTCAACGCCATTCATCACCTCCACACCAGTCTCCCTCTCCGCCCGCATCGAGTGCACTTCGGAATAGCCGGAACTCCAGACGCCGTTCACCATCACCCTTTCACCGCTCCTCCTCCCCACTTCGGCCTGCCTCATTTGTCACTGCCAGTCATTCGGAAAACTAAGTGATGCAGTTTCTGGGGGAAAAACTACATTCCGAATTAGGACTGATATTCCTCCACCAGACCCATGCAACATGATTTCGGTGGTAGTGGAAGGAGTGTACGTGGATGCTCTGGTGGACACGGGTGCGGCATTTTTTGTTATGCGTGTTGATTTAGGCCAACGTCTGAAAAAAGTGATGACCCCTTACGATGGACCCACGTCGGTTGCTGCCCAGGGGTATACCATTCGCCCTTCCGCTTTCTGTACAGCCCGCGTTTTTATTGATGGTACCCAACACCACATTCAGTTCGCCGTCCTGACTGACTGCTCTCACCAATTAATTTTAGGGTGGGATTTTCTTTCTTCTGCATCCGCGGCTATTTGCTGTGGCCAACACGTCGTCCACCTCACCGACATGGACTGCACGCTCAATGACGACCCCCAGAGTCCTCTTCATTTGAGAGCTGCGGAAGATACCGAATTACCACCAGGTCAAGATCGAATTGTAACGATTACCTCCAAGGACATCAACCGTTGCGACGTCTTGGCCTCACCATCATTTAGCTGCGTCGGTAAAGGCATCATTCTCGCTTCCGATGTAGTTAGGCTTCTTAATGGTTCCGCACTTGTCGCCGCTGTGAATACTACAACCGAAACAATTCTACTGCCTCAGAACACCACGGTGGCCTGCGTGACGGATCCCGAGCCTGCGTGCATCGTGCCACTTCATGCCGTTTCCTCCAGCGACAGCCTTAGTGGTGAGCCTGCTTCTTCCGCCTTTAGTGCAGCCATTAGCGACGACTTGACACCTCCACAGACGCCACAGCTGCTTGCTTTGTTAAAGAAACACGCAAGTTCCTTCGATGTTTACTCCTCGACGTTGGGCCGCACTACTACTACAACGCATAGAATCCACACAGTCGGAACATTTGTTGTACGCAGCCGGCCCTACCGCATGTCTCCTGCTGAGAGAAAAATTATCGAAGAAAACGTAGCTGACATGCTCAAACAAGAGGTAATTCGCCCCTCATCTAGCCCCTGGTCGTCGCTTGTGGTTCTGGTTCGTAAGAAGGATGGCTCCATGCGCTTTCGCGTCGATTATAGGGCGCTCAACAAAATCACTCGCAAGGATCTATACCCAATGCCTCGCATTGACGACGCCCTGGATTCTCTACAAGGCACGAAATACTTTACCAGCCTCGACCTGCGTTCCGGATACAGGCAAATTCCTGTGCACGAAGAGGAAAAAGAGAAAACGGCATTCGCAACCCCCGACGGGCTATACGAATTCAACGTTATGCTTTTCGGGCTGTGCAACGCATACATTTGAGCGCATTATCGATACCGTGCTGCGCGGCCTCAAATGGAAGACCTGTCTCTGCTGCTTGAACGACATCGTCATTTTTTCGTCAACGTTTCCTCAGCACCTACAACGTTTGGATGACGTTCTGACGTGTCTTGCCGCCGCTGGTCTCCAACTCAACACAAAAGAATGCCGTTTCGCCACAAAAGCTATCAAGGTTTTGGACCACGTCGTGACCAAAGACGGAATTTGGCTGAATTCGGACCAAATTACTGCGGTGCTTCGCTTTCCGTGCCCCGACAGGCCGAAGGAGTTGCGAAGTTTTTTTGGTCTCACCGCCTATTTTCGCCGTTTTATACGCAACTTCGCATCAATAGCGGCACCACTGCACCAGCTTCTTGCTTCCGACGTGCCCTTTCTGTAGTCGGAAGAATGTCGAACAGTATTCGACCTTTTAAAGTGTGCACTCACGTCCGAACCTGTACTCCGTCACTTTGATGAGGCCGCACCGACCATCCTACATACGGACGCTAACGGCCATGGTATAGGTGATGTTCTGCTCGATCGTGACACCTCTTCCCTAGAGAGAGTAGTTGCATATACCAGTAGAGTTCTAACTGCGACTGAGAAGAACTATACCATAACTGAGCAGGAGTGCTTGGCTGTGGTCTGGTCAGTGCAAAAGTTTTGTCCCTATCTCAACAGCCGTCATTTTACGATCATTACGTTCCACCATGCCCTATGCTGGCTTTCCACGCTGAAAAACTTGTCTGGACGCGTGGGTCGGTGGTTTATACGTTTACAGGAGTATGACTTCGATATCAATTACAAGTCAGGTAGAGAACACCAAGACACCGACGCCCTTTCGCGCTGACCGCTACCAAATACCCAGCTCAGCATCAGTCAAAGTTCGGCCATCCATCACTTCTACTGTAGCACCTGCGCTCACCTCAATAGACCATGCAGCAATTCTCAGATGACAAGCGCACATTTCACTCCTGCTGCAGTTGTCTGATCCGTACTGTAGGCGTATCATGGACCAGCTGTCAGGAGCTTCCCATCCACCTAACACGTGACATCGTCAACTCTTGCAATTAAAGTTAGAGAATGGAGTTCTGTACCGTAATATTTACCACCCAGATGGTCAACGCTGGGTTCTCATGCTACCACGCTCTCTTAGACTTGACGTGCTTAAAGCCTTTTACGACGACTTGACTGCCGGACATCTTGGTATTCAGAAAACTTACGACCGCATTCGAAGTCGCTTCTACTGGCCTGGTATTTCTACTTGCATCGCGTGCTACGTCGGTTCCTGTGTCCCGTGTCAGCGTCGTAAAATCCAGACAACTGTACCAGCTGGGCCTCTGCAGCCAATTCCGTGCCCCACAACACCATTTGTGGTTGTAGGTATCGATCTTCACGACCCTCTTCCCGTCACATCTACTGGCAAACGATGGATAGTGACCGCAATAAACCACTTGACACGCTACACCGAGAGAACGTCTGTATCAACTGCCACTGCTTCGGAAGTTGCCGACTTCATTCTGCACGCCATCATTCTGAGCCATGGCGCCCCTAGTATATTGCTGAGTGACCATGGAAGGGTGTTCCTGCCAGAAGTGCTAAATCAACTATTGTGTGCCTCTGGAATAACACACAAGATAGCTTCAACAAGCTACGACTCTCAAACCAACGGTGTCACCGAGAGGTTTCACCGTACTCTTGCTGATATGAGAGCCGTCTACATCAGTCCAGACCACAAAAACTGGGATACTCTTCTGCCATTCCTCACCTTTGCCTACAACACGGCCATTCAGCGTACCACCGGATATTCGCCGTTCTACCTAGTTTATGGACGTTCTCCTACTTTATTCCTCGACGTTTCCTTTTTCAACAGTAACGTCAACTCGTCTCTGTCTTCCAGCGAGGAATACATTTCAAGACTAGCCCGGTGTCGCGACCGTGCTCGCGTCAACACGGAAGCGTGACAGCAAGATCGAAAAGTCATTTATGACGCATCCCGTTGCATTGTATTCTTCTGACCAGGTTATGAGGTGCTCCTATTCACACTTATTCGTACACCTGGTCTGTGTGACAAGTTTCAGCCACACTTCATTGGGCCTTACATAGTTATCGAGCAGACTTCGCCCGTTCATTATCGTGTGACCCCACTTGTCGTCCCAGCAGACCGCCGTCACCGCACAACAGAGATCGTGCACGTGTCTCGCATGAAGCCTTTCAGGCGATGTTTTCTGTCACATTGACTTTCTACGGCCAGGTTGGCCGCTTCGATGTGGGGGGAATTAGTGTGGGCATTCGTCATGCGCTTCTTTTCATATATGCATTATCAAAATCATCATCATCCACCTGGGTCTCTGTCCTCATCTTCATTCGGTGTCACCACAATCATCATCATGTGTGTGCACGCTCGGACTCGGACTACCCGCTCGCCGCTGAGCCCTTGGGCTGAATCAACGCTGTCTCAACCCAGACGTCATAATAATAATAATAATAATAATAATAATAATAATAATAATAATAATAATAATAATAATAATAATAATAATAATAATAATAATAATAATAATAATAATTGATCAACTGATTGATGAAGTCATATTGTGGTTTTGTGTCTAACGATACAAAACCACGATATGATTACGAGAGAGGCCGTAGTGAAGGACTTCACTAATTTCGACCACCATGGGGTTCTTTAACGTGCACCTAATCAAGGTACACGGGCCTCAATAATTGTTGCCCCCATCGGAAATGAGGCAGGTATTCGATCCCGTCGCAAAATGGGCCACAAATAATTGAGGTCATCTCAATTCGTAGCTTCCATTTTATCCATCGCTGAAACTTTTTTTTACACTGCACGTTCTGAAAGACGTGAAGTTCTTCTCCCATTAACGCCACGGACAGGATGACGGTGAAAATTATTCGAGGAGTTTTACATTGTAAGCTACTACAATATTTATGATGCAATGAGAAATAACAGACAAGGAAGCCAAGGCCAATATTGGTGATGTTATTTGTAATAACTGTGGTGTAAATGTGAAGAAAGTGAATAGAAGGAAAATATAACTTTCTGGTGGCATGCAGAGACGAGGGGATGACCGCTGCGGTATGTCTCATTTCTTAGAGCCCCGGACACGTTATTCGAATGCCGTAGGCTGGGTCCCTGCCCACGGGAAGTTATCTTTCTGTCCACTTTCTTTTCATTTACATCTCAATTATTTCTGATTATATCTCATACTTTCTTTGGTATCAATGCCTGTTAGTTCCAATTAATGTGTCTTAAAAACGAGCAATTGAAACCACCATTCTTTTGTTTATATGATTGAAACACGCTAAAGGGGGGGGGGGGGGGGGGGAGGGCTGCAAAATAATTTTGACTATCTAGGTTCCTCGAAGCTAACCTATAAGTGTAAATGCATGGGTGTTTCTGCACCGCATCGACATCGAAATGCGGCCGCCGTGGCCGGAAATCGAACCCGCGCATTCCTGATTATCAGCGTGACACCTTACCTACCATTTTATCACGGTGGGCCACGAAAGAGAAGAGACACGCGCGGATGTGCCCCCGAGCCTTTTCATATTAAAGGGGACACACAGGTGGTAATATCCTTAGCGTTAGACAGCTCTGGTACAGTGGAATCATGCGTTGCATTTTGAGGCTATTCCAGCATCGGGTTTTTGTCAAGGATGATCAGGCCTTTGGATATGCAGTGCAATCTTCAAAGCGAAGCTCCTTTCATTTTTTTCTGACTTCCTAGAAATTTCCTTAAGTGCTGCTGTGGAGCTTACACTTGCCTCTAAAAATGCTGGTAAAATAGGTGTCAAATTGTGGGATCAGGCCCCCAGCGAAACAGCCAAGTTATCCCACTTTGCGAAGATATGGCACTTCGAATAGCGGAATAGATATATTGGTGTGTCGTATGCTACAGGGCGGAGTGTAAGGGCAGTGTCGGATTTAGCAGCTTCAGATGCCAAATGGCGCAAAGTGACGATGACAGGTACACAGAGTGACGGGACGTGTATACGCCATTCGGTGTTCACGTCCCCGTCGCTTTGCGCCGATCGTTCCCCTTCGACATGACCGACTCAATGGCTTAAAGAAAGTTACGCTCACAAATTTTCCCACTTTCCCCTGTATACCCGTAGAGCCTGCATAAGAGAATTTTCTGTGCCACCCAATCATGACTGTTTAGGGAGCTCTTGAGGCCGGTTAGGACAATCTGCGCTCGAAAGCTAAACATCCTGACGAGAAAAAAAAATAAATCAAAGGTGATTGAAGAGCAAGACAATTTTCCTGAGCGTCTAATGTATAGGGCAGATACCCACTAAAGCAGTACCACCAGTCAGTGTCTGTACTCGCCTGCTGAATGCTTTTCCAAGACAGTTACAAGGCCTCTGGTGTTTCTCATATTTACGGTAACAAAAAAAAATGACACGAAGCCTGACATCTTTACTCGTTCTTGCAGGGGAACGTGGTGCAAGAGATCCAGCAGGTGTTTGACTCCTGGATTACCCAAGTGATCCGGCTCTACAAAGGCTTTGACATCATCGAGTTCGAGTGGATGGTGGGACCCATCTCGGTCCAGTGAGGCCCCTGTATATAGAGTGATGTGCCTCCGAGGCTCGAGAAGCAACTCTTTGAGTAGATATCACTCACCGGCCCTGCTCACGCGTCTGAGTTACACGAGGAAGAGACGATGGGAACGCAGCGCAAGGCACATGAACAGACGTGCTACTATATATATGCGTGCAACACAGTTCACGTAATGTCGTACGCACTGTGGAAGATGGGCTCTCACTTAGTTAAGCAATCTGCCCTAACGTAGCTTTCATAATCGGTGCCGCCGCAGAGTAACACATTTAGGAACAGAAAAAGTTTTTTTTTTCTGAATACACTCGCACTGTCAATGACCCTATAAGCATTTCTACGTAGAGACCTACATTTGAATGTTGCAGCATGAACAGTCCATCGTAGTACACTATATAGCATTCAGCAATGTCGTCAGCTTATTGGATATGAGCAGGTCATAATTTCAAACGTTTACTTCCTCAGCGTTTAAGTGCCTCAAAGGGCCCTATTTTTTTTTCAGAACAAAGATTCGTACTTGTCTAAAATAATATTGAAATATACAAGACAAAAGCTGTTTTATTAAAGTGGGCTATGCGAACTATCTTGGCTTATGAAACTGTTGTAAACATAGAAAAATTTGTTTAAAAAACTATAGAATAATTTATTCACAATTACCACTTGTGCGTCCTCTGCCAAAAAGTGGTAGCAATAACATCGTGGTGATAAGAACCGTCAGTATCGCGTCACCTTATAGCATCCCTACTACATGTAGGGGGAAAGGGGGGTCAGAAGTTCCCAGGCCACACTGCCATGGGAATACATGAGATAGTGACCTGGGAATTTTTGAGCAGCCCTGTATAACACGGATCGTAACTGCTACAGGACATAAGCTGTACTACCCATTTGCCTTTACAGACAATGTCCTATAGATATTCTTGGATATTATACCATAGCGAACAGCGGTGTGTCGATTAAAAAAAAAGTACTTATATCTTCAATATCACGCTAAACATGAATCAACTCACGAATAAATTTCGCTTTACAAACCACAAGCGCACTGCGCTAATTGATAAAATTCACCAAACAGGTTTCCAAAGAAATTACGATTCTCTGTTTCTTGTCTTTGCCCAGGCCGAGACAGACGCTGAGAGCAGGTACTGCATTGCCTTCAATGGGTCTCTGCATTAAAAGATACCTCTTTTTTTATTTTTTAACAACGTCAAGTTGTTTCTCAGGATGTTCGACAACCGAATGCAGGCGGAGTAGAATTATGTGCGCGAGTTTGTAAAAGAATTATGTTAGGATAGACGAGGAAATTCCCTATGCATGGCCGTATACAGATAGCGAGGCGAACAAACATGTTCGTCATGTTTACCGAGCGCTGAAAACTGTTCATGCAGGAGTCGCCGAAGCAAGGCCGTCAGCCGGGAGATCGTAACGCGGTATACAACGAACCTTCAAAACGATGGCATATTCTACACGGACTCGAATGGACGAACGACGATCGAAAGAAGGTAGGCACGCCGCCTCGGAGCATGCAACGCGCAGAAAACTGATCGGGCGATGTGCTCGCGAACTCGTAAACGCATCAACTTGTGTTCACTAATGCTCGATAACTACAAGACGCGGAAATTCCTCTTTCTTTATTTGTATATGGCCACCCATTGTATATTTGTATATGGCCACCCATTGTTTTGAGGCAGCACGTTTTTATCGGGTCATTCCATACCAAATCATCACGAATATGAATGAAAAAAAAATTCCGCATATTTCTCGAAGTTCTAAACTCACCCTGGTCGTTTTATTTCCGTTGCGAAAAACTCTCCTTGCTATTCATGAGTCTGTAGCTTGGCGCCGACAGAGCTAAAGGGCGTCAACCAACCATTTTTTTTTCGAAAGACGTTTTTTTTAAGGCACTCGATAAAATGGTATTTCCAACAAGGTAATGAAGTGAAATAACTGTAAAATCGATCACTTACGTACGTAAATCAATTCTTAGAGGGCTTTTCCCTCGAGCAATATTGAATAAAGTTGCCGAATTTCGGATATTTTTTCGGGTTACCCGGCAAGCTCTAAGGACACAAATAAAACATGTGCTGGTGGCCTGTTTTACATGTTACAAATAAAAATAATTCAGGCGGTGAAGTTGTAGCAGATAGTAAAAAAAAAATGTGAATTTCACTTTTTTTAGAAAAAGCGTTGTTTTTTCAGCGTCAAAGAACTTGCCTTGATGGTCGAACAAAAAATTTGCACATTATCTCATTTAAGAGCCCCTTTTATTAGCTAAAAATAGGTTAACGTTCTAAAAGGCGTTATGTTTTAAACTTGAGAAATATTTTTTTTTAATTTTGTATCTACACCAGCTTTTCGCCTACATAACTCAAGCAACATGACGCTTCCCCCCCCCCCCCATCCCCACGCAGCCCAACCTGTATTATTTAGTTGTGCATGTGCATACATACGTGTACACACACAAACACGCATACAAACGTACATAAAGAATGAACGAAATAACCTCCCCCCTCAGCCTCCCCCCAAAAGATATCTTTTTGATACGTTGCGTCTTTACGCTCTGGTCACATTCATTGTAGCGCACCTCTGCATTGAAATGCAGATTTAGATTTCAATCGCTCTGTAGAGAACACCAAATTTGCTGTCTGTATTTTAGGTCAGTGGCCTTGGGCTGAAGATTGTCCTTGCGAGGGTGTCATGCTGCTTGATATACGTAGGCGAAAAGCAGATGGAGATAATGAAGATACACCTGACCATCATTATGGCGACCAGCTCTGATTGCTGGCCAGCTAGTGGTTTGGCGCGCGGTTATAAGAACTTCACTAAGAAGCTTCGCCACGATGGCACAGATGCCAGTGTGGAGTTTCACCTTGTCTGTAAACGTATTACCGTTCACGAAATAGCGAATCAACGGGCAGTGAATAGCAGAAACAACGATAGTAGCGGCATTTCTTGCAACGCGTGGTATATACGTTGGTGACATAAAAGTGCAATGACTTTACACAATTTATTCATCTGCAGTTGCAAACCCTTCAGTGGCGACATTCTCGCGAACGTACAATCTTTCACCAAATTTTCTTCTACGAGAGAACATATGCAACCGAGAAACATTTCAGACGTGTTGTATACTTGCACGAAGAGTCACACGACACAGCCGCTAATGCCTCTATTGCCACTTATAGCTTCGATTACGTCGTCATTGGCAAGAGAAATCAATTATGGCTGTCAACCTTTAACGCCACAAAACCACGATATGATCACAAGGGACGCCTTTGTGGAGCGCTTCGGCCATTTCGACCATCTGGTATTGTTTAATGTGCATGTAAACCTGCGAGCCTCTAGCATATCGCCTCTATCGAAATGCGGCCACCGTGGTCTGGATTCAACCCCGCGACACTCGGGTCCGCAATCGAGCATCATAACCACAAGACCACTGTGGCGGTTGTAGGAAAAGTGAATGAGTATTCATCGTGAACTTACTTACAGCGCAACACCAGAAAAAATACAGGACAGGGAAGGAGCAAAAGAGAAAAGAAAAGACGGCGCTGACTCACAACTGTTGTTTATTGGAAAAAAACGGGGTGAAACGTATATATACAGGTACTGGCAGCCTACATCACAACATGCGCAGAATACGAGGTGCACCGAGGTAGCGTTGTCACACTCATGGCAATAAACAAGATTGGCCTAAATACTTAATTTCAAGCAATGACAATTAAGTTCAAGATTAGAGAACAGAAAATTCAGTGGCTATGCAAAACAGCGGAACACGGCTCACTGGGACGTTTATGAGAGAAACAAGGCATTTGGTAAGACATATAAATGAATATTCGCTCCCATATAAGCCAAGTCGGTTAGATGGAGAAAGAGAAAAAGAGGTGGAAGAAGAACAGGGAAGTCAGCCACAAATGATCTAGATTTGGTTATCTCTGTACTTTGGAACGGATAATAGGGTATGACAGAATGAAAGAAGAGTGTAATTTTTGGCGATATTCCGAAGTCAGTATGACTATAGGGCAGTGTCTAACTAATATAAAAAAGTCAGTGCACAGTTAAAATCTTCAATTCAGTTGAGGTAAATTATTTAGCATGTTGAAAGAAACGCCGTAGGAATCGATAATTCATGTGTGGGGTTTCACGTACCAAAACCACCATATTATTATCTTAGAGGCCGTAGTGGAGGGCTCCGGAAATTTCGACCACATGGAGTTGCTTAACATGCACCCAAATCTGATCCCACGGGCCTACAGCATCTTCGCCTCCATCGAAAATTCAGCCGCCGCAGCCGGGATTCGATCCCCTGACCTGTGGGTCAGCAGCCGAGTACCTTAGTCACTAGAACACCGCGGTGGAGCAGCGCCGCGGAAATTAAAGAAGCTCAGGGAGTATAGGCTCATCTACACTTGGGACGTAAGAAGTTAGTGAATATCATTGTCCAACCAACAACAAAAGTAGAAGCAAATTGTGCACAAAAACAGAAAATATTTCAAATAATTGTATTTTCGAGAATGTCCCTCAATAGTTGAAGCAAAAAAAAAAAAAGCTGACGATGACAAATTGGGAGGCTGATGATACACGGGGGCGTAACGATGGCGCCTCCGATTTTTGGCGTAACGGAAAGAGCAAACGGGCACAAGAAGAACGGTTTGGGGATTTACATTGCCTAGTTAAAATTAATTCAGACAAACGAAATGTTCAGGAAAAAGAAATAAAAACCACGTTGATGCTGGAATACAGAAAAGAGGGACGCCATGGTAGAAATGCATAAAACATCTACAGAGATAAGATATTTAGAAAAGAAAAGCAAGAATACCCCAGGAGAGCGCAAACCGGAAATTACATAAATGAGAAATATGGGAAGCGATAAAAAAAACTATTGCTGCATTTGAGGAGCAAAAAAATCCCAGAATCCACGGAGTGAATGATGATAAGTGAGGCAAAGCGTCCGTCAGCCCGTCCGTGCTTCCGTCCGTCCGCGCGACCTTCCGTACGTCCATCCATCAGTTCGTCCGTCTGTCCATGCGTCCATCCATCCATTCATTCGCCTGCTAGTCTGTCCGTCCGTCCATGCGCCCGTCCATGCGTGCGTCCATCTAGTGAACACTCCAAGTACCTCCATCTTCCATCTCACAAACCCTGCGACACATAACCACTCTAGAGCGCGTATGTGCCACCAGTGGCTACTTACCACTACTACTGTATACGTACACCTGAGGATGTACAGATTCACGCCTTAAGAAGCTTTGTCCCTAAAAAACAAAAAAATACTAAAGGCCCATTAGTTACTATGCAGTCGTGTTAACATCTGGGAGAGAAAACATCTACTACAACGAGAAAAATAAAAATATATAGAATCATGGCGACTTTGACGCTAAAGAATATGAAAGAGGACTATACACTAAGAGGATGCTTTAGATGAAACATGCGGCTGAGTTATTAAACAGTAATGCTGGCGTAATCTGTGAGTCAGGAATGATAATTATAGAGCCAACTCAAACAAAAATGAGAACCTAGATTATTAATTTGCACGGAAACCACGCCGGATGGAATACCCATAAGGATCAATAATTGAAAGGTGGTAAAGAGAGATTGTTAAAGTAACTTTCAGGTTCCAGTTTTACTTTAAGAAGAGATACACTAATATCCATGAAATAATGATGATGATTGATATGTGGGGTTTAACGTCCCAAAACCACCATTTGATTATGAGAGATGCCGTAGTGGAGGGCTCCAGAAATTTCAACCACCTGGGGTTCTTTAACGTGCACCCAAATCTGAGCACACGGGCCTACAACATTTCCGCCTCCACCGGAAATGCAGCCGCCGCAGCCGGGATACGAACCCGCGACCTCCGGGTAATATCCATGAAATAAATACACACATGCGGATTATAAAAACCCTAGATAGGTCAAGGTGTATAATAAAAGTATTCATCAGTAGAAGAAAAAAATTAATCATGTAAATCAAAGTTAAAAATGCCATCAATGACATGCATATTAGCAATAGAAACTATGAAGTTAAATATAAAAGTTCGTACAGATCAGAGTGAGAAACCGTGAGAGAACAACAGCGGACACACAGTAGGCGGACACAGATAAAGATTGAGGGGCGAGGTGAAGGAGTAGCAGTAAACGCACCCCACCACCTTTCTAAAGAAGAAATAGAATCGCGCTGTTCATTAAAAAGTGAGAAAACTTGATATAACATAAATTACACTTACTTTCCTTTCAATTTAACGCGGCGAACGAAAATAAACATTGATATTTAGTTGTATATTTTTAGAGACGGTCTGGTTAGAGGTCAATGGCTAAAAAATGCAATTTACCAGAATGATAGAATGCAGTTGCTTTCGGAGGGCACGTTATGAACAGCATATATTCAGAAGTGTTCATGACGTGGTTGCTTGCTATCCCTACTGTTCTTAAAAACGTATATATGTGATAAGAACGGAAGCAGAGGTGAGTAAAAACATTGTGCTCACTTGTACATAAACAAGGAAGTGTGATTGTGGAGCGGCTGATGAGTTTGCTGTGCGCTGACAATATTGCTTTGTTATTTGATAGTATAGTGCTAGAGATATATTGCTTTAGGCAAACATCTGCAAAAGAAGGGCGGATTTCTAGGGTTCACGATTAGAGAGGATAAGTATGGTTTCAGAATTTCAATGATCACCAGACAATGCCTACTCTGGGAAACGAGATACGGAGGGTAAAATAAAAGCAGTTCAAGAGTTTGGGGAAAAGAAGGAACGACATCAAGAGAAAAAAAAAAGAAAGCGCCAACAGAATATCATGAGTGTGAGGAAATGAAACATGAAAGCATCGAGAGTAGAACAACGTAGAACTGAAAAAAAAAATCGCTGACGTTGACAATGTTTTCTGATGAAAACAAAATTGAGCTCTATGCGCGCTCTCATTTCGCGCTACATCGAGGCAACTCATTTGAGAGATGCGCATGCACGTGCACACAGCTCTTCATTTTTGACACATATATACTCTCTCTCAATCCGCTAAGCGCTGTACGAGAAAGTATGTCTCGTGCAGCAAGTGGAATGACGTGAGGCGGCGCGATTGTCTCGCTTATCTTTCTTGTAAATGGCGAATGCCACCGCATGGGCGCGATTCACAGCAGCCGCCACCGACAGACCTCCCACATCATAGAGTTTCTTAAAATTAACTTCATTAACTCTGCTCTGCCACCATTCAGTGACCATGGGAATGATGGGTAGTACACGGATTTGCCCAGTGTTCATGCTAGCCGACCATAGTTAATGGATATGTCGGGTTAAACGTCCCAAAACCACGATATGATTATGAGAAACGCCGTAGTGGAGGGCTCCGGAAATTTCGACCACCTGGGGCTCTTTAACGTGCACCCAAATCGGAGAACACGGGCCTACAACATTTCCGCCTCCATCGGAAATGCAGCCGCTGCAGCCGGGATTTGATACCGCGACCTGCGGGTCAGCAGCCGAGTACCTTAGTCACTAGACCACCGCGGCGGTGCTAGCCGACCATATAGTTAGCCAGTCTGAAGTTTATTTGCCTTCTTTCACGCAACTTGGTAAATTTAAATAAATACGGATACATGAAGACTCCGAATCGTCACTCCAGCAGTACTACCAAAGAGAAATGCATACGCCCATTCCTGTCACATTGTAACATATTTAGTATTCTTTTTTACCCCGCAGTTATAGAGACGGGGGAATGATATGCCGAATGACATCGTCATTGCTTAATCACTTGAACCATTTTCATCGCTTCTGGAATGTCACTTAGAGGCATTCAATAGGTTCTACGGTATCTGTGAGCAAATAAAGGCAAAAATGATTTATCGCGCACGTACTCACACATTGTTACACTTGTTAAACAGCTTTCATTTGTGTGTTTCTTATGTTAAAGTTCGAGGTTTTTCATGCTAGTTTTATTTTTCGTTCTACACCCATCGAAACACTCATAAGCACTGTTCATTGATTGCTTTTACTCTGTTATCGTAGCTTTGGTTGCTTTGTATTGCGCATTTTCTTTTTCTTTTTTTTATCATAATACGAACTCTTTTTTTTTTACTTTGTATGCCCTCTCCAGTATATAGGCCCGATGTGGCCCATGGTGATAAATAAAGAAATGAATGAATAAAGTAATTATCGATAATAGAAATTGAGCCATTGTATTGAAGTATCTTAAGATACAGTTGGCAAGTACCGTATCAAATACAATTATTCCTGTGGTATCTTTTATTTGTATCTCAAATAAGTTCCGAGTATCTTATCGCGATGCAGTTCCAAAGTATCTTTGTCCAGCCCTGCAGAGTAGCCATTTGCGACTGACATGGTCGTGCGACTGTTGCTAGAGGCAGGTCTGAACGAGCCTTGAGAGCTGCGCACTAACGCATATATAGATATACTGGGAAACATGAACAACTAATGAAGCCGAAATGGAAAAGAAGCGCGGTCATAAGCTTAATGAACAGTAAAAAGATTGAGAAACACTTGCTTAGCACCTTCTTTTCTGGGCACGCTGTTATGGTGCATGGTGGACACTCGCGTGATAACCTTCAGTTAATTAATTTTTCATTTATTTATTTATTTGATTTGTATAGACGGATACACAGGGGCACAAGGTAAAGAGGGAGAGAGTTAGCTTGCAACTGCCAACTAGAGGGGGGGGGGGGGGGCACAACGCCTGCTAACTCTTTCCACAGAAGGAGAGAGGCAGAGGAAAAGAAGACGGAGGAGAGATGTAGGAAAGAAGAGAGCGAAACAAAGAAAAAATCACAGCCTATGCACGGAGTGAATGATGATGAGTGGGGTGAAGAGTCGGTCCTTCCGTCCATCCGGTTACGCCTTACGCAGGAGAAGGTTAGACTAAGAGGGGCTTGAACTCTAAAAAAAAATAGATAGATAGATAGATAGATAGATAGATAGATAGATAGATAGATAGATAGATAGATAGATAGATAGATAGATAGATAGATAGATAGATAGATAGATAGATAGATAGATAGATAGATAAAAATCGAGCAAGCTTGGAAGAGCACGATATAAACAGGTTATTTAAAAAGATAATAAATAATACATATTTTTCTTCGATGCTTGCAGCTATCAACGCCCCTCCACCCCTCTCTTTTGACTGACTAGTTGTTGGATTAGTTGTTGTTTGCTGAAAGCCATAGCGTCCCAGTGTAGCGCGAAGACAAAAAAAAAAGATGAAGAAACGTATCTTTTTGTGCCTTTTATTTGCGTATTCGCGCTGCACCCTGATATATTTGAAATGACACGCAAACATGTTTCGCAACGTCATAGCGATACCCTTTTCGCAGGCGAGGCGCTACGGCACAGAAAGGATCAGACAACTGGTTAACTACAGGTTCACAGTACTATCCGGTCGTCTCCTGGGTCTACATGAAGGTGATTGCGCTTTTTTTCATAACGAGATCTACCTGAGGTATTTTACTTTTTAGTAATGTCAACATGCACTGCTGTACAAAACCTTGTTGTTGCGACATGACACAACATGCGTACTTACTTCTTTTCCACCGAACCTTCGCAGGACGTGCTTCGAAACATGCAAATGACTGTCCTACCCGACTCATCGCAGGGGACGGCCAGTCTTCGTGACGGAGAGATTGAGCTCATGGTAATACGAGAAAGAAGTTTCTGTGGAAATTCCGCAGTAGTATAAAGCTTGTCCGCAGCGCCAACGTATGACCAGAACATTGAGTAATATCAGAGTCCTTCAATGCTTTTTATGATCACGAAACTGCCGCCTCACTTTCATATGGAGCAAGTGGCCGCCGCCAGAGGCGCAGCTGTCCATGAAAGGCGATGCGAACGCTGCTTTACTGCATTTATTTAATTTAATTTAACGCTGCTTCACGCATTTAAATTACTTAATAATGTCCTTGCATATTCAGTAAGTCAGACTATCGTGTAGGAAAAAAATGGTCTACTTTTTTTTCTTGTTATATGTGCAGTTTGATTATGTTGTGATTCAAACTTCTTTTTCTCTCTCAGTATGCTTATCTGCTTTCGCGGTCTCACGCACTTTTCATACTAGCGTTTTACGTGTCTGAAAACGCAATAAAGAGACTACCCATAAAATTAAACTGAAAAAAAAAAAACTCGCTTTTCATTCTCGTGCAGTGGACGGATTAATCGCATGACCAGAACTTTGTCGGGGCCCACGCGCTTGCTGGCGCTGTCGCAACCGCAAAACAGTCCGTAGTGATTGGTGCTTACCCGAAGATGCTGGTGTAATCTGCCAGCTTTGACATCGTAAACTGCCATGATAGTGTCCCTTGAAAGCAGTAATACACGTTTGCTAGGGCTACCCTGAATTGCCAATACGGGGTGACGCACTAACTGCCATGCGGCGCTGTATGCACCTCACAGGTGCACCGCCGGCTGGTGGAAGACGACGGGTGCGGGCTCGGTGAGGCGCTGAATGACACGTCCGTGGTGCGCGGCCGTCACTTGGTGCACCTCGGCACTTCCGGCTGGCCCCGCATGCGCCAGCAGGCGCTCCAGCTCGTCTACGCTCCCGTACTCGCGTACTACAGGCTGGGCAGGGAGTCACTCGACGGCCTGCTCGCCAGAAGAGATGTAAGCTTCTCTTCCCTTTGTTCGTGTACTGGTTCAAGAGGCGTATGTCCTCGATAGTACAGTGCAGCACACTCTTCCAATTTCACTTCGTGCAGTGCAACGGTTCAGTCTATATAGTTCGCGCTTCTCCTTCGCTCAGCGGTCAGCAACCTTTTGAGGTGGAGGGCCGATTTGCATGAAGGCGACATGGCGGGGGCTGCACTAGCAATCTGGTAAAGGGCGATAATGCAGACAAAGAAAAAATCGGTGGATTGGAATTGAAGATATTGTAATGAAATGAAATAGAAACCACCTTAATTTTCTCCAAGCACGTCACAAGGTTTCAATCTACAAACATTATGAAAAGGCAAACACTCTATCTGAGGTAAAATCTACAATATCGGCTTTCCGAGAGGGAATGACACAGGGAGGGGCACGTGTTCTGACGTCGTGTCGGGAGGCTCATAAAACTGCCCCGCGGGCCGCATCTTGCCGACCCCTGCTCTAGATGTATGTGTCGTACTACTGACGCAACGCAACACTATATTTGAATGACGATATATGATGCGCAGGTGTTTTGCTTGAGCAGCTACACAGTAAAAATTTTTACACCCAGAAGGGTGTAAATGAGCTTGTCCTGTGGACGACACCCCAAGGGTGTTAATTCAGCACCTTCCAAAAAGGGTGCTTTACCATGCACCCTTAGAATAGGGTGTACATGTAAAAAAACTGTAGGGTGTTAAAAAAACACCCTTAAGAAAGGGTGCCTTCGATGTCCATCACTTTTTTAGCACCCTCTGAGGAGGGTGCGAGAAGGGTGCACAAGGGTGCTGAGTGCCCATGGCAGGGGTGGCGAATACTGCCACCAACAGATATTAGCATGCACTGATTAAATACTTGAAGAAAGTGGTCCTGATTATCGATGGCGCACCACCTGTCGAGCTCCATTCATTGCGTGTGGGCAAAAATATAAACGCGTACAATCGTGTATGAACTTGTGCTGGATCTATATATACTTCAGTGTATATGCATAATGTACGTTACAGAAAATGAAGCCTTGCTGCCCTTGCATATTGCGTTTATTTAATAGGCAAATAAAACAAACTTTTCTTCTGCCACACAACTTTTTCACCAGATATACGTTCATGTATACGTACACTACACATGCAACACCTCGAATGTTTATTATATCATTTCAGTTTCACTTTATTGACAATTCTTTGCAACATACAATTACACTGGTTTCAGTTTAGTATACTGCTTCAAGTACATAGAGACTACAAATGAAATACACGCTAATATATCCCTATAATTCTTTCAAGTATCTACAATCCCAGTGGTTTCCAGTTTAATACTCCTTCGTGTACACAATCGGTTAATAGGAATGAAATACAGGCAAATATATACTTATGATTCTTTCAAATATATACAATCACCATGATTTCACTATATACGCCTTCATGTACACAATCGTTCCCAAGAAGTGATGCACACAAAAATATATATGGATAGTGTTTTCAAATGTATACAATCACAGTGGTTTAAGCTTTGTATTCCTGGATGTATAACAATTGGTTATGAGAAATGATGTACATGCAATCATATACGGGTTTTCGCACATATAACTTTAGCTAATACTTAAGAAACCAATACAATAATCAGAAACACAATATGCTAAAAACGAACACAAAACTGAGTCAGGACACACAAAAAACAAAAAAGGTAATGCATAATTATGGCTAATGACACAGCTGGGTCACTTTATGCCAAATGTCGCAGCCATTTTGGCAACCATCTCAAATGTATTTGAAAAACTCGTGCTGCATTGAAAATAGTGAACTTCTGGAATATTTAGGAGAGGAAAAATATTTGGTCACGTGGCTGCCTTCTGAACTTTCTGGAATGCCGTCTAGGTGTTGTATGTGAAAAATTTTATTTTAAAAGCACCGCTCCTTCTTTCCATACGAAACTCCGTCTACGTGTTACGTAACAAGAGCTTAATTTGGGAGAGTTGGTTCATCGTGGTTGTGTGCTAGTCACAGCGCGACAACTTTAGGAAGAGACAGAAAGGACAGGAAAGAGCACAGACTGTCAACTGAATTTAATGAATGTGCTACGAGCGCTTTTATACGGAGTACAAGAACCGTGTTCATGCACGACGACACGTGTGAGCACTACAAAATAATCTTAACTGTGAAAAGAATACTCCCTCTCGGAAAGGATAAGTGAACGTGTAGTGATGCACTGATCATTGGTTTACCTGATAAAAAACACTTCTACAAACGTTAAATTGGCATTAAATAAACCTATTCTCGTGACAAATGGGGCAAAATTGACTATTCCTGTTGCTGTTTAGTACACACACTTTTGAAAGCTTGCAAGGGGTGGAAAACAACACGCTAATATCATATCTGCTGGCTAATTTTCTAGTTGTGAGACACGTGATGTGGTATAACATGCAAAGGTTTTGGTCATTGTTTTTTGTTGGTCCTGTCTTCTTTAACTTTACTTTCTGCAGGAGGGTTTTGCAAACGGGTGTGAAGATTCTGTTGGGATACCCAGCATCTTTTAGTCTTTTAATCTGGTTTTTAAGCCCGACCTCATCCTTGGGCTAACATGACTTCCGAAGGGTGGCCTGAATACATGTGGTATCAATTCCTCTTTCTATTAATTTTGAATGCCCACTATCAAAAGGCAGAACATTCTTAGCACTCCTGGGCTGATAGCACCAGCCAATACCCCAACAGCATCATCACACTTGTTTGCGAAACCCTCCTGCAGAAAGTAAAGTTAAAGGAAACAGGACCAAAAGAAAAAGAGAATGACCAATCACCTTTGCAAGTCAGATGGTATTACATACATAAGGTGTCTCACAAGTTTAGGAAAAGAGCCAGCAGATATGACATTGTTGTTTTCCACCTCTTGCAAGCTTTCAAAAGTGCATGTACTTACAGCAACAGGAATAGTCAATCTTGCACCATTCGTCACTAGAATAGGTTTACTGAATGCCAATCTAATGTGTATGAGATACCGCTAACACGTGGAAAAGTAAACATAGGACAAACTGGGCAATGCTTCAATTATCAAGCAAGACAGCATGCTTCAAATGTTAAGAAGGGCTATAGTAATCTCATGACCGGACAACGTAAAGAATGTAAGTGTAGTCCTAGGTTTCATAAAACACGGTTTTTGGAAAAAAAAGCAAGCAGAAAAATGAGAGATTTTAGAACTCTTTATCAGGAAGGCCAAGGATCAATGCATCATTACATCTTCACTTATCTTTTCCGAAAAAGAGTATTCTTTTCTCGGTTAAAATTATTTTGTCATGGTCACACATGTGTTGTTGCAGATGAGCCCTGGTCTTGTGCTCAGTATAAAAACGCTCGTAGCACCTTCAATAAAATTCAGTTGACAGCGCTCTTTCCTGTCCTTTTTGCGATAAGATTTTTATTACAGAAAAGAATTTCATTTTCTTACAGTTTAGGTATAATGATGAGTTTTCATTGTATCAGAACATGGAGCAAATTGCATCTCAATACGGACAAAAATCACGATTTTGTGAAATTCGTGATATTTTCTCGTATATTTCAGCATCTTGAGAGGTATAAAGATATTTTTTCCTCAGAATATACCTTCTTTGGAGTAAGTATTCACTGCTCAGATATTCATACAAAGTGCAATATTGCAATAAAAAATGCAAACATAACACATTTTGGCTTTATTCTTGGAAGCGAATGTGGCAAAAAAATTGCACTATTATTATTGAGATTCAAATACCTTACAGAAGCACATTTACTTAACAGGTAGACCGAATCTGCTTTAGAAAAAATAAGCGGTAGTTTCAAAACAAAATTTTCCACAAACAGCACACAGACGGCATTATGCCAGGAAGTTATAAGCCAGCCACATGAACAAAACTTTTTTTCTCGCTGAAGTATTCTAGCAGTTCACTGTTTTCAACGCAGTAAGTCAGCACATTTTTTTTTCCAAATACAATTCAGATGGTCGCCAAAGTGGCTGGGACGTTGGGCATGGAATGGTCCAGCTATATTTAAGCAAAATAACTTACACAAATAACAATATTTGTTCATCTACCATGAACACACTAGAAAAAGTTGTTCAGGCATTGTGACACTAAAATTTTCAGCGTCATACTGCCTGAACAACTTCTTTGATAAACTCCAAACTCACGCCGAGAAAAAGCCGCTCAATCACGGTGGTTGTTAAAGGCCTTGCGGCCGTAGGCAATGTTGAAAATAAAAAAAAATCAACTCATCAGTGCTGTCACTCCTCCCTTCTTCGTCATTACTGACACGGATGATTTTTCGGTTATCCATGTGGAGGTTCAGGAAGTAGGCTTGCTCTAGGCTGGGTCCAGGGTAGACTAGGCAGGACGTCAGCGGCACCCTCTCATCCTGTAATAAGAGCAAATATGACTTCTGATAAAAAATTTTCGTGCTGTTCTGGCAGCACCATATATAAAGAATGTGTAGTGTGTATCCTTCGAAATGGCGTGTAATTGACATTACACTGAACTCGAAGCATACAACCCATACATTCCAATAATTTCGTATGATAAAGATAAGAGTTTTCCAGCATACAGCGAATTCCCGAAATGAGGTGAAGTGTAAGACTACAGCTCAAAAATGGCACTTACGAAAGCCTGAACTCACTTAAGAATCAAATTCCTTCTAGGGTAGTGAGCCAGTGTGAAAAACAATTCTTTAAGTACAACGTTTAGAACATGTAGCATTAATCAAAACGCACAAGAAACTTACCTCTTCATGTACAAACAGTGAAGACATCTCTGCTTTCTCTTTTACATGAGAACAAATGATCTTGGGCGTGGCACTAGCGAAGAGGTCTGCAAAAAAAAGTAAAAGATTTACTTACTTAAATCACGCCTCTAACAATCTGAGGAACTGTTACAAGTCACCAATCAGTGCAATTCTGACTGCCTCTATAAGGGCATCAAAAATGAACAATTTTCTCGTTCTTTCTACTCTCACAAGACGCTCCGT